GAGGGGTGAGACCTCAGACTGGCGTGAAGTCACCAGTGGAGTCCCACAGGGCTCTGTACTTGGACCTATCCTGTTTCTGATATACGTAAATGATCTCCCAGAGGGTATAGACTCATTCCTCTCAATGTTTGCTGACGACGCCAAAATTATGAGAAGGATTAAGACAGAGGAGGACAGCCTGAGGCTTCAAGAAGACCTGGACAAGCTGCAGGAATGGTCGAACAAATGGATGTTAGAGTTTAACCCAAGGAAATGTAATGTAATGAAGATAGGGGTAGGAAGCAGGAGACCAGATACATGGTATCACTTGGGAGATGAAATACGTCAAGAGTCAGAGAGAGAGAAAGACCTGGGGGTTGATATCACGCCAGACCTGTCCCCTGAAGCTCATATCAAGAGGATAACATCAGCAGCATATGTCAGGTTGGCTAACATAAGAACGGCCTTTAGAAACTTGTGTAAGGAATCTTTCAGAACATTATATACCACATATGTCAGACCAATCCTGGAGTATGCGGCTCCAGCATGGAGTCCATATCTAGTCAAGCATAGGACTAAACTGGAAAAGGTTCAAAGGTTTGCCACCAGACTAGTACCCGAGCTGAGAGGTATGAGCTACGAGGAGAGACTACGGGAATTGAACCTCACTTCGTTGGAAGACAGAAGAGTTAGGGGGGACATGATCACCACATTCAAGATTCTCAAGGGAATCGACAGGGTTGATAAAGACAGGCTATTTAACACAAGGGGCACACGCACTAGGGGACACAGGTGGAAACTGAGTGCCCAAATGAGCCACAGAGATATTAGAAAGAACTTTTTTAGTGTCAGAGTGGTTGACAAACGGAATGCATTAGGAAGTAATGTGGTGGAGGCTGACTCCATACACAGTTTCACGTGTAGATATGATAGAGCCCAATAGGCTCAGGAACCTGTACACCTGTTGATTGACGATTGAGAGGCGGGACCAAAGAGCCAGAGCTCAACCCCCGCAAGCACAACTAGGTGAGTACAACTAGGTGAGTACACACACACACACACACACACAGGGGGCTTGGTAGCTTGATGGACAGCGCGCAGGACTCGTAATTCTGTGGCGCGGGTTCGATTCCCGCACCAGGCAGAAACAAATGGGCAAAATTTCTTTCACCCTGAATGCCCCAGTTACCTAACAGTAAATAGGTACCTGGGAATTAGTCAGCTGTCACGGGCTGCTTCCTGGGGAGTGTGTGTGTTGTGGGAAAAATAAAAGTAGCTAGTAAACATTTGAGAGGCGGGCCGAAAGAGCAAAGCTCAACCCCCGCAAGCACAACTAGGTGAATACACACACACACACATGATAACTACCTACTAAATTATCAGAGGTATTAATAAAGTAGATAGTATAAACTGTTTAACACGGGTGGTACGCGAACAAGGGGGACACAGGTTTAAACTGAGGACCCAAATGAGCCACAGGGACGTTAAAAAGAACTTTTTTCAGTGTCAGAGTAGTTAACAGATGGAATGCATTAGTCAGTGATGTGGTGGAGGCTGACTCCATACTCAGTTTCAAATGTAGATATGATAGAGCCAAATAGACTCAAGAATCTGTATATCAGCTGATTAACAGCTGAGAGGCGTGACCAAAGAGCCAGAGCTCAACCCCCACAAATAGGTAACAACTAGGTAAGTACAGACAATCATAAAAATGTCGAAAATGTTCATTTAGCGTATATGTAGTGGACAAAATGCCATGACTTATACTATCAGGTTATAAAAACAAACTTGAGCAGGCAGGCACAAATAGGTGTGTACGAATAGGTGGAACACCCACGGGGACACTCAAACGAAGAGAGTCAAAAGGTCGGGATTTAATGAACAAACTTTCACGAAACAACTTCATGCTGCAAGTTGGTGGTGTTGACGGCGGGAGATAAGTTGGTGGTGTTGACGGTGGAGGATAAGTTGGTGGTGTTGACGGCGGGGGATAAGTTGGTGGTGTTGACGGCGGGGGATAAGTTGGTGGTGTTGACGGCGGGGGATAAGTTGGTGGTGTTGACGGCGGGGGATAAGTTGGTGGTGTTGACGGTGGGGGATAAGTTGGTGGTGCTGACGGTGGGGGATAAGTTGGTGGTGTTGACGGCGGGGGATTTTTATGGTTGAAGGACGATTGTGATGGAGGGACGACTGTGATAGAGGGACGATTGTGATAGAGGGACGATTGTGATAGAGGGACGACCGTGATGGAGGGACGACCGTGATGGAGGGACGGCCGTGATGGAGGGACGACTGTGATGGAGGGACGACTGTGATGGAGGGACGACTGTGATGGAGGGACGACTGTGATAGAGGGACGACTGTGATGGAGGGAAAACTGTGATGGAGGGACGACCGTGATGGAGGGACGACTGTGATGGAGGGACGACTGTGATGGAGGGACGACTGTGATGGAGGGACGACTGTGATGGAGGGACGACCGTGATGGAGGGACGACTGTGATGGAGGGACGACCGTGATGGAGGGACGACTGTGATGGAGGGACGACCGTGATGGAGGGACGACCGTGATGAAGGGACGACCGTGATGGAGGGACGACTGTGATGGAGGGACGACCGTGATGGAGGGACGACCGTGATGGAGGGACGACTGTGATGGAGGGACGACTGTGATGGAGGGACGACTGTGATAGAGGGACGACCGTGATGGAGGGATGACCGTGATGGAGGGACGACTGTGATGGAGGGACGACCGTGATGGAGGGACGACTGTGGAGGGACGACTGTGATGGAGGGACGACTGTGATGGAGGGACGACTGTGATGGAGGGACGACTGTGATGGAGGGACGACTTTGATGGAGGAACGACTGTGATGGAGGGACGACTGTGATGGAGGGACGACTGTGATGGAGGGACGACTGTGATGGAGGGACGACTGTGATGGAGGGACGACCGTGATGGAGGGACGACCGTGATGGAGGGACGACCGTGATGGAGGGACGACCGTGATGGAGGGACGACCGTGATGGAGGGACGACCGTGATGGAGGGACGACCGTGATGGAGGGACGACTTGCAATGTGTTGTAAGGAATAGCAACAAGGAACGGACAAGTGAGACAGAGAAACTGAATAACGAAATGGAATTAATAAATGACCTGAGAAGCGGAGCCATAATGACATTGGGAGGACCAGACTTGCAGGGAGAGACAGACAGACTGACAGACAGACAGACTGACAGACAGACAGACAGACAGACAGACAGACAGACAGACAGACAGACAGATAGACAGACAGACAGACAGACAGACAGACAGACAGACAGACAGACAGACAGACAGACAGACAGACAGACAGACAGACAAGCCCGAGGATAGACGGTGTGCCGTACAGGGAAAACAAAAGGCAGCCAGCAACACATCTCCGCTTCAGTGTTGCCTCAGTAACATGACTACAACACCAAATGTTAGTCAAGAAATGAAGTAAAAAAAGATAAATCTTTCTGAAAATCGTCTAAGTGAAAATCACATGAATGTTCTGAAGGGACATACTTCACTGCAAACTTTTTCTCTGTGTTTGAATAGGTAATCTTGAGGTTATCTTGAGATGATTTCGGGGCTTTAGTGTCCCCTAGGCCTGGTCCTCGACCAGGCCTCCACCCCCAGGAAGCAGCCCGTGACAGCTGACTGACACCCAGGTACCTATTTTACTGCTAGGTAACAGGGGCATAGGGTGAAAGAAACTCTGCCCAATGTTTCTCGCCGGCGCCTGGGATCGAACCCAGGACCACAGGATCACAAGTCCAGCGTGCTGTCCGCTCGGCCGACCGGCTCCTAGGTTAACAATACATGCAAACTTGTTCAAAATCAAGATGGGTCAGCTTAAATAGGTCACGTGAGCTACATAACATCATTACTTCATACCATAAGAAGTCATTATTTAGTGTCATAAATGGATCTGTAGGGGCTTGACGGCTGAGTGGACAGCGCTCGGGATTCGTAGTCCTATGGTTCTGGGTTCGATTCCTGGCGGAGGCGGAAACAAACGGGTAGCTTTCCTTTCAGCCTGATGCCTCTATTCACCTAGCAGTAGATAGGTACCTGGGAGTTAGACAGCTGGTACGGGCTGCTTCCTGGGTATGGTAACAAAAAGGAGGCCTGGTCGAGGACCGGGCCGCGGGAACGCTAAGCCCCGAAATCATCTCAAGATAACTTCAAGATAACCTCAAGATAACCTGACCCTGGGCCAATGGCAAGCCTCCTCGTGACGTCTCAACGTACCGGCAATGCATTGCTTTTAGATATCTCTAAATGAGACTTTTTGCTCTAGATGCTGATGGATAACATAATTCTAGTGTGTTATCTTGCCTCCGGACATTTCATCATCCCTTGAGCTTGTATCTACCTAGCACAACACCACATGAACGAACCTCCCCAGTAACTTGTATCCAAGTAACGAAGCTCCCCATAAACTTGTATCCAAGTAACGAAGCTCCCCATAAACTTGTATCCAAGTAACGAAGCTCCCCATTAACTTGTATCCAAGTAAAGAAGCTCCCCATTAACTTGTATCCAAGTAACGAAGCTCCCCATACACTTGTATCCAAGTAACGAAGCTCTTCATACACTTGTATCCAAGTAACGAAGCTCTCCATACACTTGTATCCAAGTAACGAAGCTCTCCATACACTTGTATCCAAGTAACGAAGCTCTTCATACACTTGTATCCAAGTAACGAAGCTCTTCATACACTTGTATCCAAGTAACGAAGCTCCCCATACACTTGTATCCAAGTAACGAAGCTCCCCATTAACTTGTATCCAAGTAACGAAGCTCCCCATTAACTTGTATCCAAGTAACGAAGCTCCCCATTAACTTGTATCCAAGTAACGAAGCTCCCCATTAACTTGTATCCAAGTAACGAAGCTCCCCATTAACTTGTATCCAAGTAACGAAACTCCCCATTAACTTGTATCCAAGTAACGAAGCTCCTCATTAACTTGTATCCAAGTAACGAAACTCACCATTAACTCGCATCCAAGTAACGAAGGTGCCCATAAGCTTATATCCAAGTAACGAAGCTCCTCATTAACTTGTATCCAAGTAACGAAACTCACCATTAACTTGCATCCAAGTAACGAAGGTGCCCATAAGCTTATATCCAAGTAACGAAGCTCCCCATTAACTTGTATCCAAGTAACGAAACTCACCATTAACTTGCATCCAAGTAACGAAGGTGCCCATAAACTTGTATCCAAGTAATGAAGCTCCCCATTAACTTGTATACAAGTAACGAAGCTTTTATCGTCAAAGATTCTATTGCTCTGCTCTAATGTAATGGGGAAGTATTGTAATGGTGAAGGAGGTAACTGCCGACATGGAAGGATTATTATAGCGTTAATACACGTTGGGGGCCTCGTAGCCTGGTGGATAGCGCGCAGTACTCGTAATTCTGTGGCGCGGGTTCGATTCCCGCACGAGGCAGAAACAAATGGGCAAAGTTTCTTTCACCCTAAGTGCCCCTGTTACCTAGCAGTAAATAGGTACCTGGGAGTTAGTCAGCTGTCACGGGCTGCTTCCTGGGATGTGTGTGTGTGTGTGGTGTTGGAAAAAAAAAAAAAAAAAAAGTAGTTAGTAAACAGTTGATTGACAGTTGAGAGGCGGGCCGAAAGAGCAAAGCTCAACCCCCGTAAAAACACAACTAGTAAACACACGTCTTAACAGCTCGAAACAGGATAAATAACAGTATGAAAATAATTCGGGATTGACACTTGAATGAGCTTTCTAGTTTATGTGAAGGTGGAGCGAGAGTCATGTCTAGATGTGAGTCAGTCTGTGAGATTTTTTTTAATTTTTATATTTACATGCGAAAGCACGCTACATAAATACCATAAAAACAAATACTAAAAGAAACCAACAACAAAGTACAAGATATAAAGGAACCAAACAATAATCCCCAAACCATACCCAGACAAATACATGAAAACACACAAATACAGAAGTACATAGCAACAGGTTCATACAAAAAGACAAATACATAGGTCAGCCCAAAACGGACACAAACGCATGACGTGAAGAGCTGAGGTTGAAGAGCTGGGGTTGAAGTGCTGGGGTTGAAGAGCTGGGGTTGAAGTGCTGGGGTTGATGAGCTGGGGTTGAAGAGCTGGGGTTGATGAGCTGGGGTTGAAGAGCTGGGGTTGATGAGCTGGGGTTGATGAGCTGGGGTTGAAGAGCTGGGGTTGAAGAGCTGGGTTGAAGAGCTGGGGTTGATGAGCTGGGGTGAAGAGCTGGGGTTGAAGAGCTGGGGTTGAAGAGCTGGGGTTGAAGAGCTGGGGATGAAGAGCTGGGGTTGAAGAGCTGGGGTTGAAGAGCTGGGGTTGATGAGCTGGGGTTGAAGAGCTGGGGTTGAAGAGCTGAGGTTGAAGAGCTGGGGTTGAAGAGCTGGGGTTGAAGAGCTGGGGATGAAGAGCTGAGGTTGAAGAGCTGGGGTTGAAGAGCTGGGGTTGATGAGCTGGGGTTGAAGAGCTGGGGTTGAAGAGCTGGGGTTGAAGAGCTGGGGTTGAAGAGCTGGGGATGAAGAGCTGAGGTTGAAGAGCAGGGGTTGAAGAGCTGGGGTTGATGAGCTGGGGTTGAAGAGCTGGGGTTGAAGAGCTGGGGTTGAAGAGCTGGGGTTGAAGAGCTGGGGTTGAAGAGCTGGGGTTGAAGAGCTGGGGTTGATGAGCTGGGGTTGAAGAGCTGGGGTTGATGAGCTGGGGTTGATGAGCTGGGGTTGAAGAGCTGGGGTTGAAGAGCTGAGGTTGAAGAGCTGGGGTTGATGAGCTGGGGTTGAAGAGCTGGGGTTGAAGAGCTGAGGTTGAAGAGCTGGGGTTGATGAGCTGGGGTTGAAGAGCTGGGGTTGAAGAGCTGAGGTTGAAGAGCTGGGGTTGATGAGCTGGGATTGAAGAGCTGGGGTTGAAGAGCTGGGGTTGATGAGCTGGGGTTGAAGAGCTGGGGTTGAAGAGCTGAGGTTGAAGAGCTGGGGTTGATGAGCTGGGGTTGAAGAGCTGGGGTTGAAGAGCTGAGGTTGAAGAGCTGGGGTTGATGAGCTGGGGTTGAAGAGCTGGGGTTGAAGAGCTGGGGTTGATGAGCTGGGGTTGAAGAGCTGGGGTTGAAGAGCTGGGGTTGAAGAGCTGGGGTTGAAGAGCTGGGGTTGATGAGCTGGGGTTGATGAGCTGGGGTTGAAGAGCCGGGGATGAAGAGCTGGGGTTGAAGAGCTGGGGTTGAAGAGCTGGGGTTGATGAGCTGGGGTTGATGAAGAGCTGGGGTTGAAGAGCTGGGGTTGATGAGCTGGGGTTGAAGAGCTGGGGTTGAAGAGCTGGGGTTGATGAGCTGGGGTTGATGAAGAGCTGGGGTTGAAGAGCTGGGGTTGATGAGCTGGGGTTGAAGAGCTGGGGTTGAAACAGTACGCCTCCCAAACGATCCGCTCATCATCCTGAACACGACCGCCACACGTCCCCGAGGGCACTTCATGAAATCAGGAACGCCAGAGATGAAACCGTGCACCCTGGGCACCCACACGGTGGACGAACACCAGGGAACCGGCTGCACCCGTACCGTCATACAAGGTCCAGACTCCTCATCAGCAACTGATACGTCGTCCCCCGACGAGGCAATAGGAAGGGGGCGGCAACACGGGGGACGAGACCACAGGGCTCAAACTCGCAACGAACCGCTGGGCACCGGGCACAGGCGCACAGGCCCCTCGGCGACTATCTTTCTTAAGAACTACCACGAGTTCACGAGCCGCGTTATCGGCCAAGAAGGGTGGGGGGGGGGGTTAGACAACAACTCCCACATCTGGAGCCCACAGCAGGAGGCACACGAGGGGGGGGGGACACAGGAACCAACACAGAGCTCCCCACACAAGCACCCGCATCCGTCACAGGAATATCCGCCACCACCACCTCTGAGACCATCGGAACTCACCAGTCACAGACGCCATACCGTCGGAAGACACGCAGCTCACAAAATCCCCCACCTCCGCCCAGGTGGGACCATACGAGGCCAAAACAGATAAGAGCGTCACGATCGCTTAGGTTCCGGGTGCAGGTCATCCGAGCTCTTCACCGCCACAAAATCCGATTCCCGAGTGACGAAGGGAGTCCGCGACCTGACACGGCCAGGCAAAACCTCAGTGGCGGCCACGACCGTGGGGGAAGGGGGGTGGGGGTCGGCCTAAACACAAGAGGCCGCGCCCCTCCACTGGTACAGCAGGCAGAAGAGGCTAGCAAGCCGAGATGTGAGCCACGGGAGAACAAGGCACAGCAGCCGCAGAAGTGGGAGGCAGGGGAAAGGTCGACCCGCCGACCCATACCCATACCGACAGCACTCATGGCAGTCGCAGAAGACGCAGCGAACAACGGCATGGCACCCGGCGTCCGATCCTCAATAGCTGCTGCTTCACTATGTTCACACATGCCATCCAAGGGCCACCCACACCCACCCCCTCCGGATCCTCTTCAACAATCGGGAAGGGGGGAGTCCTTCTAGCGAAATAGATTAATATGGTCAACAGCACCTGCAGAGCACCCTGCAGCCATGTGGCCCGTCAACCCACAACGGAAACAAGTCCGCGGCTGCCGGCCGTAATAAACTCGGACGTAGTACCCCATTAGCCTGACAGAGGAAGGATGTCAGATTGGAGCCTCATCTCCAGCGTCCGGATGTCGTTGTGGACGTCCTTCAAGCGACCGGAGGAGATAACATTCATCCTCACATTCACCACCTTTCCAAACTGCCCAAAGTTCTTCCTCAATAAGTCCTCCAGGAATTAAATAGGGGCACCATGTACACTGACGTTGGTGCAAGCGCCACTGCGGTCGGAGACAACAACCGACCCAGCAGCACCCGGCAACTGGAAAGTACGCCCTTCAAATTGGCGCAAAAACACTCGGTGGTTTTCGCCAGAGGAGAGCTTCACTACCGCCCTATGCTTCATCAACAGTTCCACACCACACACAGCACCCACGCCGATACATTGATACAAATCCACATTGCCGGAATACTCTACCCTGGAAACACAAACCGAAACTGTCTCTATTTTCCGCTTGTTACAACTTGCAATAAAGTTGTTACAACTTGGCTTAACGTGTTTATGACGTATTAGAACGTTGTTACAACTTGCTATATTGGTTGTTATAACTGGTTAGGCGGTGTTAAAACTTGTTCGAACGTTGTACCAACGTCGTAGTTTCGGTGTGTGTTTGGCGGGTAACTGATCTGAGCACTCAGCACGGAGGGGGGGGTCTAGGGTCCCCCATCACCCAGGGCACAAGGCCCCAGCCTACCACCACACCAACGACCAGCCGCTAGTTAGGGACACCCACGACTGAAGCGAGCAGCCGAGACGTCTACGCGCCTGATGGCCGAGCACGCCGAAGTAGAGCGAGACTCACTCACGTCTGAATGTGAGTTTGTCGGTGCTTGTCTAAGATTCTGTGAGTCTGAGTTAATGGGTATGTTGTTATGTGAGAGTTTCCCAGCAAGCAACGTACCCTTAACATTTTCTCACGTTATTTAGATGTAATAAACATATCTTTGATTTTTATCTATGATATTGTCAACAAATTATTTAATTAAGAGTTGTAAGATACGTTTAATATTATCGTAGAAAACTAAAAATACATAAATAGTGGAGCTTTCTTTGTCTTCAAATTTGAGAGGTTGAGATGCCATGGAATGTCTTGGTGACTTTTCCTATATAATTAAAAAGTTATTTAAGGATATATAGGTTACAAATCGACATGAAGTTGAGATTTCTTCTTACGATCTCTTAACTTATAAAACAAAAAAGATCGTAAGACTGACTCTGCCTCTCAAAGTGGTTGCGAAAAGCAAGATTTACGACTCTCAAACAACATATGCTAAAAAAAGTTATCAAAATTATTATTTTTCTGAGCAAACTGATAGCTCCATTAACTTGAACTTTGAACTCATAATTATTGAAACGACCGTTATCATAAAACAATTCTGACGAAGTGGGCATAAAGTTTTGTAAACAATTTTCATCTATTGTCTAACACTCTTTAGACTTTCTAAACTTACGAGAACCATTCCAGTTGTTCAAAACATTATAGAAGGTTAATTCTTAGTCAATTTAAACAATTTTAATTGTCATAAATTTACTTTTTGGCTCGTTTAAGAGCAAATAGGGAGCTATCAGTTAATGAGCTGGAGTGTTAGGAAGAGCTGGGTGTTGAGGAGCTGGGGTTGAGGAGCTGGGTTGAGGAGCTGGGGTTGAGGAGCTGGGGTTGAGGAGCTGGGGTTGAGGAGCTGGTGTTGAGGAGCTGGGGTTGAGGAGCTGGGGTTGAGGAGCTGGGGTTGAGGAGCTGGGTGTTGAGGAGCTGGGGTTGAGGAGCTGGGGTTGAGGAGCTGGGGTTGAGGAGCTGGGGTTGAGGAGCTGGGGTTGAGGAGCTGGGGTTGAGGAGCTGGGGTTGAGGAGCTGGGGTTGAGGAGCTGGTGTTGAGGAGCTGGGGTTGAGGAGCTGGGGTTGAGGAGCTGGGGTTGAGGAGCTGGGGTTGAGGAGCTGGGGTTGAGGAGCTGGGGTTGAGGAGCTGGTGTTGAGGAGCTGGGGTTGAGGAGCTGGGGTTGGGAGCTGGTGCTGATTAGCTTTGGGTTGAAGAGATTGAAATAAACAGACTGTGAATGATGTGATTTTAACTCCTTCAATTCATCCCTCCCACTATACTCCCTCACTATATCCTTCCCCCACTACTCCCTCCCTCACTACTCCCTCCCTCACTACTCCCCCTACTCCCTCACCACTCCCTCCTTCACTGCTCCCTCCCTCACTACTCCCTCCCTCACTACTCCCTCCCTCACTACTCCCTCCCTCACTGCTCCCTCCCTCATCACTCCCTCCCCTCACTACTCCCTCCCTGACTACTCCCTCCCTCACTACTCCCTCCCTCACTACTCCCTCCCCTCACTACTCCCTCCCTCACTACTCCCTCCCTCACTACTCCTCCCTCACTACTCCCTCCCTCACTACTCCCTCCTTCACTACTCCCTCCCTCATCACTCCCTCCCCTCACTACTCCCTCCCTCACTACTCCCTCCCTCACTACTCCCTCCCTCACTACCCATTCCTGCTCTTTAATCCCCATAAACTTCTCCGTCCCATCTCCCGGACATTATCCAGGAACATCCTTCCATCCCATCTGTCCATCATTCTCAAATCCTTTCCTCCATAAAGTGCTCACTTCCAAGTTCTCTTCTTTCTTCTCTCCCTTTTTTGTTCACAGTTCACTCCGGGCTCACCATAGGCCGTGCTGCTTGGAACTTGTGTTCCCAGTAGATGAGTTTAAGACAACAACATCTCTTCCTTTCTGCCTTCCCTTCCTGCCTCCCCTTCCTGCCTTGTTTACCCCTTCCAAACTCTCTTCCCTCACCCCATCTTCCTCCTATCCGGGCCTTCTTAATGAGGCCTAACACTCATATCTCACACTCACCCGACATTCACTATTTATCCACTATTCACACTCACGCCTTCAATCTCACCTTTCCGCCTCACTTACATCATTGTGTGCTTCCCTCTCTCCCTTTTCTCTCCCTCCCTCCCTCCCTCTTTCCCTCCCTCCCTCCCTCCCTCCCTCCACTCCAGCAACTCTACCACTCACTCACTCACC